AAAGTGGGTCTCGACAACTGGCAAATGCGGGTCCCCAGGGAGACAACAGTTCACAAGCCCCCCCCTCATTCCCTTCTCACCCAACTGAGTTCCCTTCGGGGTCGCTTTCCCCTCAGGACTGCGTGTGCAAGATCTCCAAAGACTGCTCGCTGCCTCGCTGGCACATGAAAGACTTCTTCCACTCCTTTCTCATCGTGTTCCGCGTGCTGTGCGGCGAGTGGATCGAGACCATGTGGGACTGCATGGAAGTCGCCGGACAGCCGCTCTGCATCCTCGTCTTCATGCTCGTCATGGTCATCGGAAATCTGGTGGTGAGTCGACTCTCGCAACCCCCCGCAGCAGCACCCTACCGCCCCCTCCCCCTCGTTCCCCCGAGCGCTCCCTCAGGCACCGCATCCCCCCACCGCCCAGCCCATAAGACCTTTTCAACTGCTTCATCATCACGTTTGGAGACAGGCTTGAATGCCTGGAACCACGATTTGCTGTGGAAGAAGCCAAGTAGGGATTAAAAAAAAAAAAAAAAACAACAACAAAATTTTTTGAGCATCCATTCCAATTCTAAAAGGCAGTTTTCCTTCTTCGATATAAAATCTAAGTTGCCCCTCTCTTATTTTAATTCACAACGCATACATCTTTTGCTTGTACATCAGAGGTGGGTAGAGGAGAGGGAAGCACCGAATACCAGTACGAGAAAAGTAATAGGATACCTTGCCGCCAAAAATGAAACAATACCTCATATTTTTCGTTAAGTTCTACAACAATATATGTGAAGGGCACTTGATTCAAGCTGTTTATTATTCACGTCTGTAAAAACGCACAGTACGTTTTTGCATGTGGTGACGTGAGGCACCTACTTAACAAAAGTACTTTTTTTTTTTTTTCTGTGATCGCGTCTCAGTCTCAATAGCGAAGTACAGGTTGAGTCTCGAAATCAGACTTTCGGTATTGTGACGACACCGGTCGAGTTGTCGCAAATTATACTGGAGTAAAAGTAACGTTATTACGGAATAGTATGACTCAAGTACCTGTAAAAAGTAAAAATACTCAAAGTAGCGACTGACCGGTGAGTAACTTGGGATTGATTTTTTTTTAATCAACGCATGAACATCTACTCACTCAAATAACATACTAAACCAAAACATATTTCATTTTCTGACAGTAAAAAAAAAAAGTATGTTGCAATAAAACTACTCTGACAAATACAACCTTTCCCAAAATTACGAATGTAGTCTAAACATAGTGTCTCTACCTACCTCTGCTTGTCCATCTGCAGATTTATCTCCTTTTTTTTGTGTGTGTGTGTGTGTGTGTGTGTGTGTGTGTGTGTTTACAAAGCTCCTTTCAAGTTTTCCATTGCCTGTACCATTAGAGGTATTCCTGTTTGCCATCATTTAAATGTCTTTTTAGACGTGCGTGCGGGTGTGCGTGCGTGCGGGTGTGTGTTTGGGTGCGCGCACGCACATGCGGGCAAACACACGCATGCACACTCAGCAGCTCATCTTGCTCGACATGAAAAGCAGAGGAGAGATTTCTTTTCTGTGGATAACGAGCTCGCCTATCATCTTCCGCGCACACACACACACACACACACACACACACACACACACACACACACAATGATGGAAGTGCAGACATGAGACAGCTTCATGGGGTAAATTTCATAGAAAGCCGAGCTACTGTGTGTGTGTGTGTGTGTGTGTGTGTGTGTGTGTGTGTGTGTGTGTGTGTGTGTGTGTGTGTGTGTGTGTGTGTGTGTGTGTGTGGTAGCTGAAAGCAGAAGGGTGGAAGGGGGCGGGGTCATGCAAGGTGCGCTAATCAAACACACACACACACACACACACAAACACACACTTATTCTTCTCCTGTCAGCAGCAGCAACTCTATCTCCTCCTGCAGGGGACGGGCTGACCCGAGCCAATGAATGAATACGCCCGACGCAAATGTGTGTGTGCGCGCGCGGGCGCTTGTGCATTATTGCGCGCGCGTGTTCAGCCGCGGCAGGTGAGCAGATGTTTCGTTTGCTCTTTTCTGCTCATGACAAACGAGCAGGTGAGCACATTTCCCTGAGCAAGCGATTCACCTGCTGAGCGCTCGCCTCCGGACGCCAGGCGACGGCGCCCTGCTCTTCCTCGTCCTCCTTCCTCTTCCTCACCTCCCCCCACCCACTCATTTTTACGTTGCGTTGACGAGAAAGGAGCCCGCTGCGGAGGCAGTTATGCCAAACAGGCTTATTGTTCACGTAACAAGCAAAGAAGGAAGTCTTTAGCTGTATTATCTCTGCAGAAGTTGATGAAGTTAATGCTCGGGGGGGGGAATGTGAAGTTAGTCCTCTTCCTGGTGCTCGACCTCCTCCTCTTCCTCGTCCTCCCGCCACTTCTTACCTCTTCATTCTTCATCCTCATGCTTGCTCTTCGTCCAGAGGCTGCTCATGCCCGTCTTCCTCATGCCCTCCCTCCTTCTTCAGGTTCTTCCTTGTCCTCGCTCCTCATTCTGCTCTTCCTTCCCTTTGCTTCCTAACTTCTCCTCCTCTTCCTTGTCCTCCCCTCTAATCTCCCCTTCCCCTTCTCTTCCTTCTTAGCCTGCAGTCCGCCTTCCCATGGGGGGGGGCTTTGCTCACAGCACTTTGGTGTGATGAGCACGAACAACAAAAAAACAGATCACCTCACTGCTCGTTCATCACCCACACGTGTGTCCGTGTGTGTGTAGGTGTGTGTGTGTGAGAAAGAAACTACCTGAGGTGAACTTTACTCACTTCACAGTTTGTTTAAATCTCATTGATATGCAAAAAAAAAAAAAATGCACATTTTATATACCAAAGTCACAGCAAGATCAGTCGGCGTTTTATACACACACACACACACACACACACACACACACACACACACACACACACACACACACACACACACGTTCTGTAGCTTGTCTTTCATGTTTACTCATTACCGGCTGAGAAATGTTCTCTCAACAACTTCTAAATGAGTATGAAAATGTCCTTTAGTTCCATCCTGCAGACATTTTCCTTCCACGCTCGCTCGCTCGCCGACGTCCAGGTTTGTTTGTTGGCAAGCGTTCGCATGCGTCAGGTCATAGGTCGCGAGGTCCGGCGAGGTCGCTGGCGAGGGCCGTCTGCTGGTCATGTTGCTCTGTGGGCCAGTCGACGGCATCGATCTATCGCTGCCCGTCGTCCAATCACACGCCGGCATTTTGGGTCAGTGAAATGTGACATGTGATAGGATATCGCACCGTTCTCACAAACAACAACAACACACACACAGAGTGACGGACACTCGCTGGTGGTGTCGATACACAAAAAGACACACACACACACGGTCAGGACACAGATATTGACCCACTGGCCCGGTTTCTTCTTACACAAACCCAACTGGAAGCTTCTGGATCCAATACTTATGTAACAATTCTGTATTGTGTTGCTCTGTTGTGTTGTTATTGTGACCCCCTTCCCACACACACACACGCTCGCGCTCATATTCAGCTAGCAGGTGTCTCCAAATCTTTTTCGTTGGCCATTGCACGTGTCAGTTGGGACAAATGCTAAGGTGCTAAACGGCAGGCTCGATGCAACGTGGCCCAGCAGTTGTGTTCAGTGTGTGCACGTGTGTGCGTCCGCAGTTGCTGAACCTGTTCCTGGCGCTGCTCCTCAGCAGCTTCAGCTCTGACAATCTGTCGGCGCCCGACGACGACGGCGAGATGAACAACCTCCACATCGCCATCCACAGGATTGGCCGAGGCCTGGCCTGGTGCCGCCGTCAGGTGGGCGAGTCCTCTAGCCACGGTTAAAAAAACAAACAAACAACAACAACGAAACTAAGCGAGAGACAACAGCCCTCTGCCCGCGCCTTCTTTTTTGCAGGTGGTGGATTTCTTCAACGGGAACTTGAAGCGTCGACGGCAGAAGCGCAAAGAGGCCAAAACCATGATGAAGCTGAAGCGTCTGAGCAGCGTCCACGCCGAGGCCAACGGCGCCGTCATAGGTACGGCGCCTGCCTCTGACGTCGGATCGCGCGGCCACGCCCACGGCCTGCACCTGAACCAGGTCCACCTTCCAGGACGCCACGTGGAGAAGTACGTGGCGCCCGAGGATGACAGCTACATGACCAACCCCAACCTCACCATCAGCGTGCCCATCGCCCCCGGGGAGTCTGACGTGGAGTTCCCGGAGGAGGACGACGAAGACGAGGACGAAGAGGTGGACCAGGAGGACCAAAGCGACGACTCGCAGGGAGACGACGCGGAGCGGGACGAGGTAATGCGCGCGTTCGCGCATCCAGAGGCACGCGCGCGCACATTCCCGACAAGTGTCCGTGTGTATGTGCACTGTCGGCAGCAGGAGATCCTTCTTTGCGTGTAACATGGAATGACAGATTGGTGTCATGCTCTATGTGTGTTTCTGCGTGCGAATGCGTGTATGTGTGTGTGCGCGAGCGCACACACGCTGACTCAGTTGATGATGATTTTGTCATCTTTAATCATCTGGCGCACCTGGTTTGTTGTCTCACTTGGGTTCCGACTTCCCGGATGGAAGTTTGGCGGCGTCACAAAAGCCAGCGGGCCGTTAGACAGTCAGGTTAAAGGTCAGGCCCCTTCTAGCTAACTTTATCCTTCGAGTATAGATGAGCACTAGGTGGCGCTAGTCTTCGTCTAAGACCATCGTTTTTTTTTTTTTGTTTTTTTTTTTTTTTTTTTTTAGCTCATGCTAAGCTAAGGCTAAATATCATGCTAAGCCAAACAGCAGGTGCGTTCTGTTGCCCCCGGCGGCGGAGGGTTACCTTTGACCCCCGTGCAGGTGTCGACTGCAGGAACAAAGCTTTGATTTGCTCATCAAAAATGTTCTCTCACCTTCAAACGACCTTCACACAGCATCAGCACTCTTGTTGTTCTGTTGTGTTTGTTGTATTTATTTAGCTTAAAATTAATTGATGTCATTGACTAATTGGTTAAAATGATTGATTGTAAAGAATGTAACAACAATATTGACAGAATGTGACATTTGACATACGTTTTTTTTTTTTTTGGTTTTATTGTTTTTGTTCAATTTATTGCTCTAAATATACAATTGGTGAATTAATCAAAGTAAATTATTGAAATATCAAATTATTATGAGTTATGCAGTATCTTTTTTTTTCATCTATGTGCTCTTGTGTTGTTGTCACGTCTTGGCATCCACATCCACAATACTTGATGATGATGATGACGATGTTGTCATGGTGACACGTGCTGATGTGCTCAGCAGAAAGACGACATCAGCCTATCGGAGGGCAGTACGGTGGACCTCAGGAAACCCGGAGAGGAGGAAGATGAGTACTCGGAGATGGCTGAAGAGGCCATGGACCCCGAAAACTGTTTCCCTGACAGTAAGTGCGAAATACCCGGACACATACGCACACACGCACGTCACAACCGATGTGCTTATCGGAAGTTGCGAAAAGTCTGGTAAAAGTAGGAGTACTCATTGACATAAGTGAAAGGAAAAGCACGCAGACCCTGAAATGGGCTTGAGCAGGGGTCCCCAACCGCCGGTCCGCAGGGCATTTGGTACCGGGCCGCACAGAAAGAACTTGCCCTAATTCCGTTTTATTTCGGAATACGAAAGATGTTTTATTTTGAAAAATTACCGGATTCTCCGTTACATCCGTCTGTGTCACGCTTGACACACGTCAAGCCACGCTTTCCCCCGTCACGTGACCGATTCCGCTTAAAAACAAAACACCAGAGCTCGCAAAATGAGTAAAAAAACTGCTGGAGATCAAATGACAGCGGCCTTAAAAGTACGTTCGAAACAACTGGATTAAAGTTATGGCTGAATATTCTGAGATCACCACAGAAGGACTGTTGCTATTTCCGACATGCTACCTGTGTGAGGCGGGGCTTTTCTGCAGCAACGGCGACTAAAACAAAATTACGAAGTAGACTTGACGCAAAACACACACTTGAGGTGTCATTGTCTCCTATTACCCCGAGATGGGACTGTCTGGTTGCAGAAAATCAAGCTCGGGGCTGTGGTGAGTGGTCATTTTCATGCACTTTGAATTTGCATTGTATCGTATTTTGAAGGCATTAAACATTACCATAGCGATCAGAGTGTTGCGGCCAGATTAGACGCTCCTTGTGTTTATTATTATATTTCGAAAACACCACAGTTTTCATGCAGCTCATACCATATTATTTTGTTGTATTATTTCCGCCACACCTGACATGCCGGTCCCTGAAAATATTGTCTGACATAAACCGGTCCGTGGGGCAAAAAAGGTTGGGGACCCCTGGGCTTGAGAACAAAAATTAAAACGGAAACTGAATATTTCACTGTCAGTTATTTTAACGATTAGGTAGCACTTGTTTAACACTCGAAGCTATTCAAGAAAGTGCTGCTGGAAATAAATACTCAGTTAAATGCCAGATGCCTGAGAAATATACTTCAGTGCAGGGTAACAAGGTATTTGTACTCACTTCCCACCCACCGTTTCTCCTGATGACATCATCGCCGGGGTTGACAAAGTGCTTTAGGCGCTTAGTTGCGCAGTCAGCGAGTTGGGGAACGCGCTACCCGACGCAAACAGCCGACGAGTGCGACGTCATCGGCGGGAGCCCCGCCCCCTCGACCTCATCCCTTCACGGGGAGATTTATGGAGGCGGATAGTCCAGGTGAGAGCGGCACCTGCGCTCCCTCCTGACTCAGCAGCTTCCCGCCGTTTATTTACATCCATAACTCCTGCTCTTTTCTTTCCTCGTCGCAAAGAACACTCTTTGTAGTTCGGGTAGATATGACTCTCAACCTTTCAATGACCTTTTCTCGATGTGCGTATAAGTAATAATAACGAAGTGACCGGCAGTGTTCATTTTATCAGTTGCGCGAAGTGAATTAGAACAGAAGCGCAAGCGTTTCCAGCGGCTTGACAAAATGGCTGCGACACAATCGGGCCACCCAGCTGGGAACGTGGCATGCCTGTGATGAATCCACTTTTTTTTTTTTTTTTTGGGCTCCCACGCGGAAGCTGCACACCTTCGCTCCGACGGAGCATCAAGATGAAAATTTTGGTTCGACTGAAACAAAACCACGGCAAAAAAAAAAAAAAAGAAAAGTAGTGTAAAAATAGGTTTCAAATTCGTTGTATTTTTATTCCTTCAAAATAATTTGAAGAGACACATTACGGTACTCTTGATTAAATAAAGCGTTCAAAAAAAGCGCCACCTTCTGGCAGTCTTGACTCCGCCTCCTGGCACTGTTGGTTCCTGGCTCGTCACGGCATGATCGGTACCGGCAGCTGCTGACTCAGCAGCGGTACCGCTGCTGAGGGAACCTCAGAGACTGGAACAGCTGTTCATGTCGCATGGCCAGGCCGGCGCCCCTGGCGAGACGGATCGGGCAGCCTCCCAAAAATAGGAAATTTGAACGACATAATTAACATATAACAAGTAACTACCAAACGTAAGCTTTTTTTTTTTTTTTTTTTTGTGTGTTTTCATGCGCGGCGCGTGCGCATATGTGTGTATTTGTGTACGTACATCTGGCCATCTGGAGCCCACCGAGGCCTCCACATTTGGCAGGACATCCAGTTGGTCCGGCGGCCGCCGCTGGCGACCCAGCTTGCTTGCTGTGCGCTGGGGAGAGGATGCGCCATGGTTGCTTAGCGTCCGCAGAAAGCTTGTCTTGATGAAGGAGAGAGTACCACTGCAGTTGTCAACAATCAACAAAAGTTGAGCTTGTGATGCGGCTGCATTTGTGTGTGTGTGTGTGTGTGTGTGTGTGTGTGTGTGTGTGTGTGTGTGTGTGTGAGTGTGTGTGTGTGTGTGTCAGGTGCGCCACCGCCACTAATTATTCACGTCGCAGGCAGAAAAGGTCAGCTGAGCGGGAAAATCCCAGCAAGTGTTGAGCAAGCTTGGAGATAAGTGAAGGTCACCATCTTGTTTTTCTACTTGTGATGAAGAGTGTCTCACTCGCTCGCTCGCCACCAGCGCCGCCGCGCACGCACGCTCACACACTCTTGCTGAGCTCGGCTTCTTTGATGCAACTTTGCGCCTTCGCCGTTTACTCGTGCTCAGTCGATGCGCGAGTACAAGTGCGAATATTGGTTACTGTGCTCAAATTGATTTTTTGTCCATCCCCCCCATTTTCTGAATCAATTTTCTTTTTATTTTTTATTTTACTTTTACCCCCTAAGTTTGAAGGAAATACAGTTGTTATTGTGTTAACTTTTAACTTACAGCTTGTCCCATCAGGGGTCACCATAGTGAGTATTATGCGTGACTTTAAATGTGTGTGGCTTTAAAAGGCGGGGCCTGGCTTGGTGAGTAACATGTCTGTCAGCGAATGAGTGCAGCGTAGATAAAATGAGATAAATACAATTTAGAAATCTGCAATCTGGTGGCATGCTGGTGTCAAGGAACTGTGTTGAAATTACGAAAAACTCATGTTTTGCCATTATTGGTGCTTTGTCGCCATCTTGTGGCCCTGTTAGGCAATCAAAAACCTTTTTACTTGCTAATTTGGGATATTTGTGGCAAGAATCTATCTTGATGAATATGCTTGTACCATTTTTCAGTCTCTGCTGATGATGACACAACCAAAAAAAAAAAAAACCCTACCCTATTATTAAGTTGATAGCATTAGCTAATTTAGAATTTTTTTATTTTACGGTATTAGTGAGTTTTGTGAGAATGGGGCGCACCCAGTAGCCAATGCGCTAGAAAGCAAGGCAGTGCTCCTGGTAACTTAGCTGCGCTCACGCCACCTTACTCGTCGATGACCTGGAAAAAGTATGCTGCTGCTCATGTTAGCATTAGCCGCGAGTGTTAGCGTGACAGAATGATGGACTGACATGTGCTTGTTATCATTGAACACACATACACACATTTGCAGAAAGATCACATGGAATTGCTCGCATGCAAAAAGAAGGACCCAATGAACCTCGGTGACACACTCACAGACACGCACGCGGGCGCACACACACACACACACACACACGCACACAGCGTCGTAAGATTAGCTGCCTCATTAGGCTGCTAAATGCCAGCTCTTTGGCTGATGCGACACCACACATGCCATCAAGAGTGTGTGTGTGTGTGTGCGTGCGTGCGTGCGTGCGTGCGTGCGTGCGTGCGTGCGTGCGTGCGTGCGTGCTCGCGCGTGCGTGTGGTGTCAGGCGGAAGCATGCCGCAGTGTCCGCGAGCAAGACATGTTCACTGACACATGTTCTCCTTCATGTGCACAGAACCGGAGTTGACCTGAGAACCGGGCTGTGGTTCTGAATAAAACACAAACTTTGTTTCTTGTCCTATTACTTGATGTAAAAAGATTGAAACTTAGTAATTAGCTGCTAAAGGCACGTTAACGCGAATACCTACGTTACCAGACGAAACTTAAAGGTAGACCCAGTAACACAATGTAAATCGTAGCACTCGCCAAGCTAACATAGGATGGAATTTAGCATAGCATGCTAGCTGAAAAAAAAAATTGATGTAAAAAGATTGAAACTTAGTAATTAGCTGCTAAAGGCACATTAACGCGAATACCTACGTTACCAGACGAAATTTAAAGGTAGACCCAGTAACACAATGTAAATCGTAGCACTCGCCAAGCTAACATAGGATGGAATTTAGCATAGCATGCTAGCTGAAAAAAAAAAAAGTGGTTATGCTAGAGTAGCGCATAATGTGTTATTGGCATCGCCATTATTGACAGTGTAAAATTCTACTAGTTACCATATATAAATTTACGAGTTAACACAAGTAGCGTGCAGACTAACACAGTTTATCCTAATGTAGTTGTTCTAGTAGCGCACGGTCATCATTCAACCACTGCAGCCTCATCGTTTCAATGTCACACCGCAGTACACGGAATTGTCCTACGGATGAGGACAAACTGCACCGCAACGCGGATCCTTCAATACACTAGGAGGAAATCGAAGAAATACTCAACGGCTTGGCACGGGCGTTTTATCGTCCTCCTGTCACACGGAACAAGTGCTCCGTCTGATTGAGTAGTGCAGCTTTAAATCACCATTCGACCAATTAGTAACCACGGCAACGTAGCTTTAATTGCCCAAGCAATCATCGGGGAGGGCCCATGAGAGTCGGTGATGTCGTCAGTCATGAGGACCCAAATGGCTTCTCATCCCGTCAGCTCGATGGCTGTCCTTTGCGGTAACCGTGGCAACTCGGCGACCATCTTGGACACTGCCACTTTCTGTACCGTGACCTATATAGTGACATCGATATTTTGTGGTGCTTTTGTGTCGTGAATACAGATGGGCAACTAAGAAATGCGCTCACTCCTCGCGCATGGTTGGAATTGAACATCGGTGGCCTTTTTTAAAAAAATTTTTTTAATTTTAACGTTCACTCGGTGTTTCACCATACGTTTGTGCATATGCAGTATGCGTGTCCAGGTTCAAGTGCTGCGACGTGGACACGACGTCAGGCTTGGGCCAGGTGTGGTGGCGCATGAGGAAGACTTGCTTTCACATCGTGGAGCACAGCTGGTTCGAGTCCTTCATCATCTTCATGATCCTGCTCAGCTCGGGCGCGCTGGTAAGGAACTCTGGAGACACGCGCACATCTTTGTTATGTGTGTGTGTTACATTTTCCGTCATCCTCCGTGTCATCAGGCCTTCGAGGACATCTACATCGAGCAGAGGAAGGTGGTGAAGGTGGTACTGGAGTACGCGGACAAGATCTTCACGTACATCTTCATCCTGGAAATGATGCTCAAGTGGCTGGCATACGGCTTCAAGAAGTACTTCACCAACTACTGGTGCTGGCTGGACTTCCTCATCGTGGATGTAAGCTTGAAAAACGTTTGAAATGCAGTGGAGGTGTACTTTCAAACTAAACGTAGAAATAAGAACGCAACCCCACTCGTCTAAACACGGCATTCTGATGGATATTGCGTTTGTGGAATGTGAATCAAAGCAGCAAAAATGGTTTCTATGCATCTCTGGGGGCGGCCATTTTGATGACATCACAGTTGCTCAAGTGACAA